GAAAAAGATACTTGTTCACATTTTGAGAAATGGAAGCCATAACATTACTTTGTTCCACCCCACCTGGGATTTGCTGCTCTGTGGATGACTGCAAAAGCACTGCGAATATTGATTTGGGGTTACAAATACATTTTAGGGAATAGGTGAATTCGGAAATAGTAATCTATGAATAATGAGGATTGATTGTACTATTTTTATTATAGTAGCTTTATAGAATGTTTTAGTATTTTTTTTTTTTTGGAGGCAAGAGTCTCACTTTGTTGCCCTTGGTAGAGTGCTGTGGAGTCATAGCTCACAGCAACCTCATACTCTTGGTCTCAAGTAATCCTTTTGCCTTAGCCTCCCGAGTAGCTGGGACTACAGGCACCTACCAAAACACCTGGCTCCTTTTTTTTAGAGTCAGGGTCTCGCTTTTGCTCAGAGCTGGTCTTGAACTTGTGAACTCAAACAGTCTACCTGCCTCAGCCTCCCAGAGTGCTGGGATTACAGACATGAGCCACTGCACCCAGCAGAACGTTTTAGTATTTCATAAAGCAAGTCCCTTATTTCTTTTTCACGAGTTTACTATTTATAACTCTTAAAATTCAATAATAAAAAGAAAATTTGATTAAAAATGAGCAGAGGATTTAAAATAGAGATTTCTGCAAAAAATATACAGATGACCCATATGCACATGAAAAGATGCTGAACTTCATTAGCCAACAGGGAATTAGTGAAATGCAAATCAAATTTGCAATGGAAAGAAAAAAAAGAACACAGTGAAATGCCACCCTTGAGAATGGCTACCATCAAAAAAGACAGTAATAAGTGTTGACAAGGATATAGAGAAAGTGAAAACCTACTTCAGGTGGGAATGTAAAAACGTACAGCAGCTTTGGAAAACAATCTGGCAGTTCTTCAAAAAGTTAGAGTTGCCTAGTAATTCCACTTCTAGGTATATCCTCAAGAGACCAGAAAATGTGTCCATACAAAAACTGATATGCAAATGATTGTAGGACCATTATTCATACTAGTCCCCAGATATACAAAAATGACCCAAATGTCCATCACCATGAATGAACAAATAATGTGATATATCCATGCAATAGAATATTACTCAGCAATAAAAAATGAAGTACTTATGCATGCTGCAACAGGGACGAACCTCGAAACATGCTGAACATTATGCAGTACATGGCCTGACACAAAAGGCCGCATATTTTATGATCCATTTTTGTGCAATATCAGAGTAGTCAAATCCATAGAGAATGAAAATTAGTAATAGCTTAGGGCTGGGGGAGGGGATTGGAATGGGGAGTGGCTACTTATGGGTCCAGGATTTCTTTTTGGAGTGATGGAAATGTTTTAAAATTAAAACAGTGATGGTCGTACAACTGTGCATATACTAAAACCTATAGAAGTAGACTTTTTTCTTTTTCTTTTTTTTTTTTTAAAGACAGTCTCACTCTTGCCCTTGGTAGAGTGCCGTGGCATCATAGCACAGTTTATGTCTAGTCTTCCCCTCCAGGATCATAATATGGTACATTTCTTTCTTTATTCAATCTTATTTCATGTTCTTCAATAAAATTTGTATAGCTTTGCCCTTCTTAGTAAATTTATTATGAATATGATCATTTTCCATTTGAACTTTTGACTGATTATGGCTAGAAGAGTAAAAAAGCTATTGATTTTTATGTATCTAGATATCTGTATCTTATAGTCCACCAACCTTATTAAATTCCAGTACTAATACTTTCTTACTTGCGATTCTTGGACTTTCAGAAAGTACTATCCCCACCTTTTTCTCTTAGTTTCTTTCTTTTTTTTTTTGAGACAGAGTCACAAGGTGTCACCCTTGGTAGAGTGCTGTGGCGTCACAGCAACCTCAAACTCTCGGGCCCAAGCGATCCTCTTGCCTCAGCCTCCCAGGTAGCTGGGACTACAGGCGCCCACTACAACCAGCTATTTTTTGGTTATAGCTATCGTTGTTTGGCAGGCCCAGGCTGGATTTGAACTCACCAGCTCCAGTGTATGTGATTGGCACCCTAGCTGCTTGAACCGTAGGCACTGAGGCCTTCTCTTAGTTTCTTTTTTCTTTTTTTTTTTTTAGTTTTTTGTTTTGTTTTGTTTTGAGACAGTCTCACTTTGTCACCCTCGGTAGAGTGCTGTAGCGTCACAGCTCACAGCAATCTCCAGCTCTTGGGCTAGGGCAATTCTCTTGCCTCAGCCTCCCGAGTTGCTGGGACTATAGGAGACCGCCACAATGCCCGGCTATTTTTGTTGCAGTTGCCACTGCTGTTTTAGCTGGCCAGGGTCACGTTCAAACCTGTCACCCTTGGTATATGGGGCTGGTGCCCTACCCACTGAGCCACAGGCACCGCCCTTAGTTTCTTATTCATTCCTTCTTTTTCTTTCTTAATTTTCCTTCACTAGATTTCTTTCCCCCACCTGCTTTTTTAAGCCATCTCTACCTGGAAATAACCAAGAATATCTAAAGCTCAGAATAAAATTAAATTATAGTTAAAATAATTCTCCTTATTGTTAGGTTCAGAGCTATTTGCTGACAGCCAGTGAAGCATCTTTATACAAATTAGAGGAAGGTACACCTTTCTCCTGATGCTCTTCTCTCATCTCTGTGGGAAAATGTCATAATTAACCAACTCCATTGGACTACGACACATTACTACGGAAAAATGTCGTAATAAGTCTGCAGATCTCTGATATCTGCCATCTTGATGTTCTCTACACAAACATTCACAGTAGTACTGCTAAGGTCTGTAGATTTCCCATCTCACTGCCCCGGTCATTATATTTCACTTCTCCTCACAGTACAACTTCCTTCTTCTGCACAAAGGGCAAAACCAAAACAAACCAGGTCTTTCTCTTCCCAGCCTCTCTCTGGGCACTCTAATCACAATCCAGAATAATCTTCCTAGAATGCCAGAAAACCCTGCTCAAACGCTTCTGGTGGTCCCTCATTTTGTTCTCCATAGGGTCAGACATGCTTCACGCCCTGGAAACCCCTGTCAGTGTCTTCCCCTGGCATCCCCTGTGCTCTTCTCACCTTACCTCAGGAACTCCCTATCACCTCTGTCAGTTCTTTCACAAGACGAGAATACTGGTGTCTCCTCAGAAATAACATGGTGAAAATTGAATGATGGAACATGTGGAAGTGTCTATAACGCAAGGCCTGGCACTTGGTGCATTAGCCGCCTTCCTCCTTCCCCTTCTACCCCAAGTACTTTGGAAACTGAAATGTTGTATAATTGTAACATGTTGTTACAATTATTTATGCCTCATTGTGTGTTCATTACCATAGTTCTTGTATATTGGCAAGAATTCATTATTTTTGACTCCTAATAAGGAACATTTGAAAATATTGGAGAAAAAAATCTACAGTTTTGCAGCCCCTAGTGTGCCACTGGAACCGGTGGCACCATCAGGTCTTCGGCTGCCTCTAGAGGTTCATGGTGAGTGCTGTGGGAAGAGAGTGGGCTGCAGCAGTGTCCTACAGCTGGTAATCTATCTTCAAGCTGACAGGGGCTGAGCTGAGTAAGTGGCAGCTGCCCCAAGTAGACATAGGTATGGACTGCAGGACAGGGAGGATGCTCAGGAGACTGGCCAGGAACAAACACTGTTTTTCCCTGTTACTGCCCTAGAGAAACAAGGATAAAGTGCTTGCTATCAACTACAGAAAATGTTTTGTAGTTAAGAATCAGTTTCCCAACTGTATTCATTTAAAGAATTGACTTCTTTTCAGCCACATTTTAGTTGACTGTTGTCTTTTGTTCTAGGCTCTCTCCTGATTTGGTTTCCATCAGGTTTTAATCAGAACCATCCTCAGAAACATTTTGGATTCAAAATAGAGTTTAAAACAAACACATCTTTTAGAGAACACAGATGAAACCCAGAATGGAAAAGAAAGTAAACAAAAAATAATGAAATAACGTTATGAACAGGACAGTGTCAGAGAGAAGGAACAGAAAGAAGCTGGGAAAGGCTGTGTAGAAGGAAAACCCTGTCGGAGAAGGAGCCATCCTGGGGAAAGTGTCAGGGAGCCAGCAAGGGTCTGGATGGGGGTTCTCCCATTTTTTGACCAATCTGTGGGGTAGAAAGCACCCCCACCCATTTCTGAGCTGTGATAGAGGGCTATCTATGGGCTGGAGCAATACACTTCCCTCCAGTGTTACACTTCCCTGAAAAAGTGCTGTCTCCCCTCTCCGTTTTGGTGCCTTTTTCCTACTCCTTCCACAGTCATCCTGGCACTAACATGTGCTGGTGAACCTAGAGTCCAGATACATAGCAAGGTGTGAGAAGACATGCGTTAGGGCACATCAGTGTTGGTAGGGTCACCCTTTCTGCCTGCCCTACCCCTATGTGCTATAGACACTTCAGATGTGTGCCTCAGGGGGTTGAAGATGTTGGGAGAACTGTATCTTCAGCCAGAAGTTGCTAAATGTTTTCAAACTATTATGCTTTATTTATTGGTTTGATTTGGGAAATACAGGTACACAAATTAAGGTATTTTCCACCAAGTATCAAAAAGTATATACTGAAAATTATCTCTCTTTCTCACCCTGACTCGTGGGCCCTCCACTACCTCCTCAGTGGCTGCTCGTTTCATATGTACCTTTTCTGAGGTTGCCAGTGTTTGTCACGATTAACTTTGAAAAATTATCACAGCTGGGGGTGGTGGCTCACGCCTGTAATCCCAGCACCCTGGGAGGCTGAGGCAGGTGGATTGCCTGAGCTTACAGAGTTTAAGACAAGCCTGAGCAAGCATGAGACCCCATCTCTACTAAAATTGAAAAACTGAGGCAAGAGGATCTCTTGAGCCCAATAGTTGGAGGTTGCTGTGAGCTATGATTCACAGCACTCTACCAAGGACAACAGAGAGAGATTCTGTCTCAAAAAAACAAATAAATAAATAAATATTATTTATCTTTCTGCTTTATTGGCAAAGCTGCTAGATTTAACTGTGCTCTTTGTGTATCTGCTTTCTCCATGTCCCTTCCTCTCAGACTTTGATTCCTGGTGGACAAACAATAGTAAGCAGAATGAGCTGGAGCCCGTGCCGGCCAACTGCACGGGCTGTGCCCAGAAACTGCCCCTGAAGGTGCTGCTCCTGGAAGATGCCCCAAAGAAATTTGAGAGACTCCATCCTCTGGTGATCAAGGTAAACGAGAAGCCTGATTCTCCCACTGATTGATTATCCATTGAACAGATAGATCAAGCTCTATGAAATTTCTGACATGTGACTTTGTATTTTGTTTTGCTTTGTTTCAAGACGGGACAGCCCCTCTTGTCTGAGGAGATTCAGCACTTTCTATGCCAATACCCTGAGGCCATAGAAGGCTTCACAGAAGGATTTTTCACCAAGTGGTGGCGTTGCTTTCCTGAAAGGTGGTTCCCATTTCCTTACCCATGGTGAGTTTGAAAAGGGGCACTTAGTTTATGTGTGGGAAAGGTGAAGAGCAGTAACACTGACACAACAGTGATAACTAACACTCAGAGCTGCCATGTGCCCAGCATGTGGTAAGCACTTTACAATACACTCTTCATGTTAGATGACAGGAGCTCGCTAATAACCAGTGATGAGATGTAAAGGGGATGAATGGAAAAGGTGTGTCACAAGGAGGGACACCAAGATTGCCTAATAGAATCATACTTTATTTCTAAGTTATTTCTAAGTATGTGTTTAGTACTTTGTGTAGAACACAACCTAAATGTCAAGGTTGGAAAAGGGTGCAAAGAATAGGAGAACTGTATTTCTTGGTGCTTGTTTGTGGCAAGCAGTGTGCCTTGGTGTTTAGTATCTGTTGCTCATTGGTGAAACTCATAATGGCTCTGGGAAGAAGGAATGATTATTGCTATTTTTCAGATGTGCAAGTAGGAACCAGAGAGGTTAAGTAACTTCCCCAACGTCACCCAGCCAGGATTGATACTCAGATTTGTCTTCCTATTCCTGTGTCCTGCAAAAGACTGATCCATTCTTTGGGGTTAGGATTGCTCTCTAGCAACAAACTGAAAGGCAGTTTCCATTTTAGAACTGTTCCAAAAGAGAATTAAAATGGCTTTCTCAGGCTTTTTGTTAGATAATTTCCCAGGGCTTCCGCCTTTCTTGAATGTGCTGTTTATCTGAGGTATGCCATTCTGCCTCAGAAGGGTCTTGATTTTTGTTCCTTCTTACTTCTCTCTCCTTCCCTTCCCTCCCTGGCCTGCTGTTACTTCAGTCTCTTTTCCAAGATAGAATGATAGATTATTTCCTTCCTTCCTCTATATGTTGTTTTAGCTGCACTTTATAAACACTCCACCCACATGTACAAATTGTGGCTGTAGAGTTTATGCTTGTGATAATTCATTGACTTGGCACAAGTATTCTTCAAAGACTTAGAATTAAAGATACTCTCCTGATATTTTTCCTCTTTACCCACCACCCATAGTTTCCCCACCCTGCTCAGCTTTCTGTTAGTGATGGAGGTAGGCTGGCTTTCTCAGTTTAATGACTTTTTTTGTTTCAAACTTTTACAGGAGAAGACCTCTGAATAGTTCACAAATCTTACGTGAGCTTTTTCCTGTTTTCACTGACCTGCAATTTCCAAAAGATGCTTCTTTAAAAAAGTGTTTCCTTCTTCACCCAGAACCTGTTGTGGGGAGTAAGGTAGGAAATTTTGAGAGGACTTGAATCTAGAATTTTCCTCATTTGGGACCTGAACTGATGTCATAATCAAGGCCTTCTCTGCATATCAACTTAGGGAACACCCTGTGTAATCTCAGCTTCTCCCTCCTGCTGCTGGACCCACTCTGTCATGAAGGCATGTTTCCAGAAAGTCTAGTCAGCAAATCCGTCTCCACCCTTAATACCTGGGGGGATGCTATTTTACTTTAAAGAAGTAGAATCCTAAAATTTGAACAGACTTGAGTGTGCAAGTTAGTCTAACTTTTCTACCTCAGAGTGGAAAGTAGATAAAGTAGAAATGAATAGCATGTAAATAAATAGCCCAGCCTTTCATTTTGTAGATAAGGAAACTGAGCCTCAGAGAGAGTAAGTAATTTACCTGAGGACACAGAGCAAGTTGGTAGGAGGTCTTCTCCCACCCCCATCCCCATCTCTAGGTTGTCTTTCCTCAGAAATAAGAGGAAATGAGAGAATGCTTGGGAGCCTGGGGGGCATTTATTAGGCAGACAGCCCAGAGGGATGGAAAGTCCCCTCGCACTCCCCTCATTTCCCACCTCAGTCCAGGGCCAGGTGTCCAGAGGCCAAATTTCCTTCTCTGGGGGCCAGTGAACTGAGAGAGCTGTTAAAGGTTTGTGTCTCTTTACTGTTCTCTGAATCGCTCCTTTGTTGAGTGTCATTTCTCAGGAAGGTTTTTGAACTTGAGTTGATTTGGAAGAATTAAAAGGATGTTTTTTTGTCAAAAATTGAAATTTCCCAAACCATGACCCCCACCACCACCTCTGGATTGTGATTTCAATCTCATGATACTATTATTTGGCTTCAAATTTGCTGAATCGTGTTAAAGGAATTTGAAAGCATATAAAAACAATCATTTTGTCTAGAAGTGAGAACCTCTGTCTGCCAGCACTCGGGTGGAGATGCTGGATTCATGCCCCAGATTTTAAAGACGTTTATCCTGCTGTCCCCAGCTAGAATTCAGGGCCGTCTTATGATTTCATCTTCATAATTATGATATAATTCTGGGTGAGGGCGTTTATCTTTTTCTCAGTTTTCCCACTTGAATACTGAGGTTAATTTCACCACTCTGATTAATACTAGGGAGCCTAGCTGAAGAAGTAAATTCTTCGAGCATCTCTTGGCCCAAGCTCTTGTTTCTCCCCTGCCTTGTTACCCCAGCTTGTTCTCCACAGCTCTGGGCAAGTCATGTGTCTGTGGGACCAAAATCCAAAAGTAGCCTTGAGTTGGAAGATGAGAATTGCAGACCTGGTGTACTGAGGAGAGAGGCAGGGCACTCCAAGGCCCACATTACCCATTGCACGGTGCTACCTAGGGCTGGCCCACACCATTTTGCTGTCTTTTTCTTTCCATCTTCGGTATGGAGGAACATGATACCACCCCATCTTGAGCCTGTGTTAAAGGGGGATACATCCACTTGTTTTTGGCCCTCTAGGATTTTTTTCAAGACTATTTAGATGTTAGGGCTTCTGCCAGTATTAGCACCAGTCCAGACACCAGGCCTGTCCCTATCACCATAGGAGCTGGTGAAATGGCTGTGGTTTTGCAATGGAAACAGAATCATGGCCAGGGCCTATGACAGCAGGAGAGAGACAGGAGAGAAAACCCAAGACTCTGGAGGCCCTAAGTAGTGAAGAGAAAACTAGGGTGTAGCCCTGGGAATCAGACACATGGCACCCTCCTACCCCTGCTTTGTGTGAACACAGAAAGAGTTTCCCTGAAGCGTAGGAGCTAGGAAGGGGCTGAGGAAGGGAGGCCCCAGGAGTTTTCTCTCACGGTGTAAGGAGCCAAAGTAAGATCTACCTCCTTTTATCCTATTCCTGCTTTGTCCTAACCTCCTCCCCTGTATTCACAGCCTCTTGCTTGGCATATAGAAGGTTGCACTTAATGCTCGTTGCTGGCAGGAATATGCCCTCAGGGGTACAGTGGTTACCTGCCCAGGTGCACATGCTGCTTGTCTCCTTAGTCTTCAAAATTGGGGCCAGTCCTAGTGTCATCAGTTGTGTGTGTATGTGTGTTTGAGATAGAGTCTTGCTCTACCACGCAGGCTAGAGTGCAATGGTGTCATAACTCACTGCAACCTCAAACTCCTGAGCTCAAACAGTCCTCCTGCCTCAGCCTCCTGAGTATCTGGGACTACAGGCATGCACAACCATGCCTAGCTAATTTTTCTATTTTTGGTAAAGATGGGGTCTCACTCTTGCTCAGGGTGGTCTCAAACTTCTGGCTTCAAACAGTCCTCCTACCCTGGCTTCCCAAAATGCTAGGATTACAGGCGTGAGCCACTGCACCTGGCCTGTCATTAGTTTTTAATCAGTAGCATGGCATATCTGCTTGTGTGGGGCTTGCCAGACATTGTAAACTTAAATGTGCTGCTGTGCAATTCTTACCAGAACCCTAGTGGTGAGAAATAATATTCTATTAAAGGTAGGTAGATCATCTATCTATCTAAAAAGTCTGGATCAAACCAGAGCCTTAAAAGATTGTATACATAGACCATCATGTGTTAGCTTCTGCTAGAACTACTTTTGTTAAAGTACAGTTAGGTTTTTTCTTTGGCTTACTTTGAATCTGTGGCTAGAAATAGTTGCAAATTGAAAGCTCATGGGATCTTCTCTAGGACATTTATTTAGTTAGTTAGTTACCAAGTCTTGCTCTGTCACTTAGATGAGAGCACAGTGGCCTAGTGCACTGTAACTTTTGAACTCCTAGGCTCAAGCAATCCTCCTGCCTCAGCCTCCCAAGTAACTGAGACTACCACATGCACCACCACACTCAGTTAATTTTTCTTTTTTTTCTTTTTTTTGTAGAAAATGGAGGTCTCACTATGTTGCTCAAGCTGGTCTCAAACTGGCCTCAGGCAATCCTCCTTCTGTGGCCTCCCAAAATGCTAGGATTATAGGTGTGAGCCACCACGCCTGACCTGTTATTGAGGATGTCGCCCACTAAATCACATAGTGCCTCTAGGAAAACCCGTAAAAGAGATTTTACCCTGCTCTCAGTACCAAGAGATGACATTCTTAGGAGGAACTAGTTTGGTTTTGTCTTTTGGACGTAATTGCAGATTTTGTTGTTGGTTCTGTTTTCCTCTTTGTTTAGGCTAGGACCTTAGCTATATGGATAAGCATTTTTGTGTATTAAACCCCCGGGTTGGCTCGGCGCCTATAGCTCAACCGGCTAAGGCGCCAGCCACGTACACCTAAGGTGGCGGGTTTGAATCCCCAGCCCGGACCGCCAAACAACAATGACGGCTGCAACCAAAAAATAGCCGGGTGTTGTGGCAGGCGCCTGTGGTCCCAGCTACTTGGGAGGCGGAG